ATAGCACTGGCCTCCTTGGGATTGGCTGTGGTTGTGGAAAGGAAAGAAATCAGTCAAGTTTGCAATATCTTGGGATGTATTTCTGACTCATATTGTCTTCTAGGCATTATGGGACCAGGTTCATCAGGTTCACCTCAAAATAAACTGTGACGGAGTTTCCGCAATTTTTCCACAGCTCAGTCTGCATGTCTTGCTCTCCCCTATCATTAAGTTAACTCACATATGCAATAAGTAATTAGGACAGGAGAGATGATATCCTACAAATGTGATCTCTACCCCTAATCTGGGAAGCTTTGTCCTTGGGAATTTTATCTTGTGCATATCTTGTGACATATGGCATCTGACCATTATTATTTAGGTAGTCTCATGTGGATTTTAGTGCTCTTACTGCTTGGTAGCAAGTTTCTCACTAAAAAGAGACATCTGTATAATTCTCAATGTTCAGCATGGGTAGATGAAATGAACACCAGAACTGCACTAAATATACATGTCAAATAGGGGGAAAGGGGAAAGAATCTAGTGCAAAGGACTAGACTGTCATATATTGAAAACAAAATGAAATAGTCACTGGGTATTGTTATTTATAGATAAGGAAATATAGAATATTATAACCCTATGGTAGTACATAACCAGGACAACAAGGAGACATTAAGGGATGCAGTCCTGGGCATGTTTGAGATAGCCATTTTCTTTTTGGCCTTGGTCTCTTAAGCTGGGCTCCATTCCTAGTTTTCCCAATTTGGTTTGAATATTCTTTCCACCTTGCTTTTCTTCAGCCTTTCTTTTCTTGGCCCTTAGACTGTAGAGGAAATTGAAGATTTTTAAAAAATTGGACACTATTAAACTACTAAGGAAAATATAAAAAGCATACTTTTCTTTGGAGAGATGAACAAAAGATATTTAACTCATCTGTGTTTAAAATTCAGAATAGAAAATATAAGCTTTACTAAGGCAGTTAAATAATAAGGGAAAGAGGTGGGGAAAGAGGAGAAAGAAATGATAAAAAGAAAGCAGGAGAGGAAGAGAGAGAAAGAGCTCATAAGAGAGAGAGGGGGAGAGAAGGGAAGAGAGGGAAGGAAAAGAAATAGAAAAGAATGTGAGAGATAGTGAAGGGGAGTAAGCCCAGAGAGGTATAGAAGGGGACAAGTCAAAATTATGTTGTAGCTTTGGTACCAAAGATGTGGATTCTTTTTTTTTTTTTTTTGAGACAGAGTCTTGCTCTTTTGCCCAGACTGAAATGTAGTGGCACAATCTTGGCTCACTGTTGCCTCAACTTCTGGGGCTCGAGCAACCCTCCCACCTTAGCCTCCTAATAATCTGGGACCGCAGGCCCATGCCACCATGCCTGGCTAATTTTTCTATTATTTGTGGAGACAGGGTTTCACCATGTTGCCTAGGCTGGTCTTGAACTCTTGGGCTCAAGCTATCTGCCTGCCTTAGTCTCACATAGTTCTGGGATTACAGGTGTGAGCCACCATGCCTGACCATGATATGGATTCTAAATCTACAAAAAACCTACATCAAATCTACTTAGTGATGAAATATTGCAAAGATCTTCTGAGATCAGGAATGAGACTAGGATGGCTGCTATCACTACTTCTAGTCAACCTTGTACTGGAAGTCTTAGCCGGTGGAGTAAGGCAAGAAAAACAAATGTAAATTTAAAAAGAAAGTAGATTTACCATTCAGGATGTGCATGGTGGTTCATGCCTGTAATCCCAGCACTTTGGGAAGCTAAGGTGGGAGGATGGCTTGAGCCCTGGAGTTCAAGACCAGCCTGGGCAACATAGCAAGACCCTGTCTCTACAAAAATTAAAAAAAAAAATAGCCAGGTGTGAGGATATGCACCTGTAGTCCCAGCTACTCCAAAGGCTGAGGTGGGAGGATTGCTTGCTTGAGCTTGGGAGGTCAAGGCTGCAGTAAGCTGTGGTTGTGCTACTGCACTGCAGCCAGGGTAACAGAGCAAGACCTTGTCTGGAAAAACAAAACAAAAACTTACTATACATGGATGGATGTGATTTGTGTGCACAGAAAATCCAAAAGAAAATCCCAGAATGGGTTGGGTGCGGTGGCTTACGCCTGTAATCCCAGCACTTTGGGAGGCTGAGGTGGGTGGATCACCAGGTCAGGAGTTCGAGACTGGCCTGGGCAATATGGTGAAACCCCGTCTCTACTAAAAGTACAAAAAAAATTAGCCAGGTGTGGTGTCTTGCCCCTGTAGTCCCAGCTACTCAGAAGGCTGAGGCAGAAGAATTGCCTGAACCCAGGAGGTGGAGGTTGTAGTGAGCAGAGATCGTGCCACTGCATTCCAGCCTGGGCGACAGAGTGAGACTCTATCTCAAAAAAAAAAAAAAAAAAAGAAAAGAAAAAGAAAATCTCAGAATGACTTTAGCAAGGACTATACAAAGTCGATATTCAAAAATTAATTGTATTTCTATATATAGTTCACACACAATAAAGAAAAATGGAAATCTACAAAATTATGTTTTACAATAACAAGAAAAAACTTAAGATGCCCTTCTGAGCCTCATCAAGTGTAAAAGTAGGTATGCAGCAACAATAATACAATAAAAATAATAGCAGCAGCAGTAGAAACAACTGGGGTTTATTGAGCATCGATAGTATGCCAGGTATTGTTCTAAATGTTCACATAGACTTTTTCTTTTAACTTTCTAACAACCCTTTAATGGTTATTGTGAGGATTAAATAAAGTAATATATGTAAAACATTTAGCACATTGCCTTGCATATAATAAATTCTCAATAAACTTTAGCTGTATAAAAAATCATTAGTTTAGAGAGACTCATAGCCAAAGTTGTCAGTAGACCTAAGTAAGCTGCTGTTCATTTAGCTAAAGATTTGTAGAATAAACAGTCCTGTATTAGTGTTGTTTCGAAATTTCAAATAGCTCGTTAATTCATTTATTCATCCAGACACTGCTCTTGGGTCTAGGAATACAGTGAGTAAGCAAAATAGATAAAAATCCGTACTCTAATGGAGTTTACAATTTAGTAGGGGAAACAGACATTAATCAAATGATATCATGGATTGTGGTATGAGGCTGAAAGTACAAGTATCAGGCATCTGAGAGGATGAAAGCAGGAACCTGGTCTGGACTAGAGAATGAAAGACTTTGTGGCAAAAAATGTCCGTTGAGCTGGGTTCTGAAGGATAAGTGGAACTGGGCAGGAAAAGGAGAATCCTCTATGCAGAGAAAGCAGTCCATCTGAAGGGGGTGAGGGTAGTGGATGGAAGGAGAGCTTGGTATGTTGCAAGAACTGAAAAAAATGGCTGGAGTTCTGAGAATGAGGAGAGGGTTATTGAATGTGCTATAGCTACAAAGGAGGACAGAAGGACAGAGGACAGGTCATCAGGGCCTCGGGAGTCTTGTTAAGGATTTTTGCAGTTATTCTAAGAAGAATGGAGTGCACTGCGGGGTTTTATGAAAAGAAATGATGTGATCAGTCTGTGTTTTGAAAATATTTCTCCATTGAGGAGGCTACTACTGTTGTCCAAGGAGATGTGAAAGTAGGTTAGGCTAGGGCACCATCAATAAAGGGAAGAATTGGTGGGTATATCTGAGAGATATGTAAGGGGTAGAATTGATGGGGCTTGGTATTAGTTTGGGTGTGGCAGGAGGGATGCTTCACTGATGCCTCCCTCATAGGATCTGACTTGCAGAACTGGATGTCTTGGAGTGACTTTCACTGAGATGAGGACAGTCCTCATGGCAAAATAGCTTTACTGACTTTATATTGAAACTTGAGAAGATATTTGAAGTATTTATTTTCCTGTGAAAATTTGAATGGGGAAAGAAATGACAGGTTCAAGACACTGATTTTGGAAACTTAGATAGATATGTCTAATCCTGTTATCCCTTTGTTTTTCAAAAGATGTCAAATTGTTGTATATTTAGTCTTTTTTTTAAAGGGCAGGAATATGAAACTTCTACATTCCTGATACATATATACATTCTTTATACATTTAGAGTCAGTCTCCCTCCCTTTTCCTAAATCTGCCTCTTCAATCTGAACAGCGGAGTGGATTCAGTACATAAATCTGTGTTCCACTTCTTTTATCAGCCTCTTACATCTCCTCCTTAGGTCACCAAGTAGTTAAATGTAAGAAAATAATTTTGGAGTTGGAACATTACTGCCTCATCCAATGATTGTACAGACTAGGTGATATTAAGATTTAGCTGCTTTGAAGTTCTCTGCCTTTGGTTTGGAATATCTTTAGCAGGTATACTAGGGCCAGAAAAGACCTTCAGATATCTTGGTTAAAGCCTACGTCAAATGCTGGTGGTGCTTGGAGTTGATTTGAACAAGCTCATAAGAAGGCCCTGGAGTTGACCCAGGTTCCCCAGCACTGATTGGAACTTTCTGATGGCATTCTCTCAAGGCAGGTTTGAGGCAGATAGAAGTCTGAGCCTTCTCAACCCCCTGCTACTTTTGTATAGCAGAAACTATTGTATAGCACCCCTTGAAGGGAAGAGGAGCCACTGGCAATATAGTCAGAGGGGAGTTTGAAATTAGAGGACAGTCCCACAGCCTGACCCTTTGGTTAGGTACAGGACTGGGGTGAAGGATGTAGCTGATTCTCTCTCTCTCTCTCTCTCTCACTCTCTCTGTCTCTCTCTCTCTGTGTGTGTGTGTGTGTGTGTATCCATGCCTCAGGTCAGGCAGTAAATTCTCTTTCTCACTCTTGCTGACACACACACACACACACACACACACACACACACACACACACACACACACACACACACACACACACACGGTCCTCTGCCTGTGCCTGTCTCTCTGTGTCATAGCTTAGCAGCCTCCTTAGTGTTGGGAAGAGGAACAGGGCTTCATGCACTGCCTAAGTTCCTGGCAGCTACCAGACTCTGAAGCCAGAGTGGAATTGGAGCATGGGAGCTCTTGTGGGTTGGGTCTCCCCTCTCCCTCCCTCCATTCCCAGCTAGCAGCCTGACTCTACCCTTGTCTCTCTTCCCGCAGCACTCCACCTCGGTGAGCATCATGGGGTTTTCCAACACTCTGGAGATGGAATTGTCATCTACCAGGTTGGAGAGGACCCTAGAGCCACAGATCCAGAGTGCGAGCAGCCTGACAGCTGGCGCTTCCAAAGCAGTACCAAGCCTGCTGAGTGCTCCCCCCAAAACAGTGTCCAGCCTGACAAGTGTTCAAAACCAGGCCATGCCCAGCCTGACAACCAGTCACCTACAGACTGTGCCCAGCCTTGTGCGTAGCACATTCCAATCCATGCCCAACTTGCTGAGTGACTCCCCCCAGGCTATGGCAAGCCTGGCAAGTGATCACTCTCAGGCTGGGCCCAGCCTAGTGTCTGGTCACACCCAGGCTGTGCCAAGTCTGGCAACTTGTCCTCTGCAGAGCATCCCTTCAGTGTCTGACATGCAGCCAGAAACCGGGTCCAACTCTAGTTCTGGCCGAACTTCAGGGAGCCTGTGCCCTGGAGATGGGGCTGAGCCCTCCCTGGGGAATGCTCTGTGTAAGGTAAGTCCCAGGGAGATGCCATTCAAACTTCCTTTGCTCAACAATGGGCAAAAGGTTGGCCACTAAGACCCTTGTTCTAACCTTAGCTTAACAGTCCTTTGACCACCAATGGCAACTGTGTCTGAGTTCTTTGATTCTTGTTGACATTTCACTTTTGAAAGATGGAAAGTGAGGATTCCACTCGCTTCACTGACTCACTGGGACAAGGTCCCATAGCCCCTGGTCTGGATGCTCACAAGGACTTGGTCATCCCCTCAGAACTGGAGGAGCCAATTAACCTCTCTGTGAAGAAACCTCCACTGGCACCAGTGGTCAGCACATCTCCAGCTCTGCAGCAGTGCCAGAACGTAAAAGGTGAGACTCAAGCAGCCTGCCCTTCGTGTTGGCCACAGACTTGAGCAGATGGACTCAGCACTTCCAGGTGAGATAGAAGCCAGCAGACAAGCTCTAAGCTGGGGAAGCAGCGCATCTCTCTGAGGCCGAATTTACTTCTCTCCTCTGAAACTGTCTTAGTGACACCTGTTCTGCTTCCCTCACTGTGGCCATGGCTGATCTAGGCATGGCCAAGATTTATTCTGTTTGTAACACTCTCCATGCAAAAAAAGTCCTGGGGATCTGCATTATTCATAGGGGGAAACAGAACACAGCCCAGGAGGGCTAGCCTTGGCAACATGTTATAGGGAAAAGAGCATGTCTGACTTTGGAGTCTGACAGATGGAAGTTAGGAAACCAGTTTTCTCTCCCTCTAATCCTGGATAAGAAACCTAACCTTTAACTGATTTCTTTCTCTCTAAATGGGGCTAATCGTACCTACTTCATAGGCTACTGGGACAAGTAACTATAGTGAAATAATTTGATAACTTACTCTGAGTAGCAAGGATTTTCCTGGTACCTGACAGTAATGTGGATTTGTGTTGTGCCTCATAGTGAAGGGAATTTGGACCATTGGAGATTGGTTCTGATTTGCTTCTCGGCTTCCCATGCCCCTTCTCCAACCAGGCTAGGCTGTTTGTTCTTCTGTGGAAGGTGAGGGCCAGTTGGGAAGTCAGAAGCGACTCCCTAGTGATCATTTGGGACTTTTTCAGTTCAATGTATGATGCATGTTTAATTTATAATGCTCAGTCTCTTTCCTATACATGTAAAAAGTGAAAATGAAAGAAACAGTTTTTCTCCTTTTCCTCACACTGACTGAAAGACTAGCTGAAAAATTATTGGTTCTTATTACAACACAATAATGTAACTCTGCGTTTTATGCAGTAAAATTAAACTTTTTAGATCCTGCTTGCCCATGTACAGCAGAACCATGCCTGGTGCTGACCGGATGCTAGCTTCCTCCTTTTGCCCCACCACTGCCTCCTGCCCATCTCCATAGACTGCATACTCAGGGGAGGACTTCCTGGGAGCCCCTTGTCCATGGAGTGTGAGCTGGATTCTCAAGCAGTGCTGGAATCCCAGCACTTAGCTGAGAGGGCAGAGGCTGGACAAAAGGCCTCCTTAGAGGAGGCAATAACAGTGTACTGAGAACAAGTGATTTTTGAGCTCATGTTGAAGGTGAGAAACTGCCCATTAGTGCCTGAACCAACACTCACCTGTAGGCAGCTTCTGAGTGTTATTTGTGTTCATCTTTTTTGAAAGAAGGTGACCTTTCTCCTTTCAAGAAGGAGATCCATGGTAGACTTGTCACCACTATGAATGACTATAGTGTAGATAACAACTGTATGACAGGTGTGTGGCCAAAGGTATGAATAACAGATATAAGTGGAAGGTGTGCATGACAGGATTTGTTGTCACAAATGTGTGTCACAGGTATTTGTTTGTGTTTTGCCTTAGAGTGTGAGAATTTTGAACAAGGAACCCTAGAGCTGGATGCAAAAGAGAACCAGAGCATCAGGTAACAGACTCCTGGTTAATCTCCCCTCCCACCCATGACTTCACGTCCTGAGATGTTGGCATAGGGAGGAAGCAACCTTGACGATTTAATTGCAAGTGGAAGAAGTTTGTCTGCAACTGTCTTCTTCCACCCCTTGATCTTCAAGTGAATGTCTGGGATGGTCGTGGGAGGATGTCCTGGCTGCTGCACCATGAGGCATGCACTCTGGGTGCAGTTCTTGCACATCAGGGAGCTCCCATCTTTGACTAGGAAGGACTACACCAAAGGGCTTCCCAGTGGCTGACAGGGCCTGGCCATGCAGAGCTGGGCAGCAGGGCAGAATCTGGACCTATAGAGTCCGCATTCAGAGTCCAGGTCTGAGAGGATCTAGAGTAGCAATTCAGCTGGGGATTGTATTAGTCAGTGTTCTCTAGAGGAAAAGAACTAGTAGGAGATATATATATACACACACATATATATACACATATATGTATATATGTGTATATATATATGTGTGTGTGTATATACCTTGTGATCATGTAAGTTAATATAAACTCCCGTTCATATATATATGTATATATACATACACATATATATATACGTATATATATACATGTATATATGTGTGTGTGTATATATATGTGCGTGTGTGTGTGTGTGTGTGTGTGTGTGTGTGTGTGTATATATATATATATATATATATATGAAGTGGAGTTTATATTAACTGACATGATCACAAGGTCCCACAATAGGCTGTCTGTAAGCTTGAGGAGCAAGGAAAGCTAGTCTGAGTCTCAAAACTGAAGAACTGAGTTCAATGTTTGAGGGTAGGAAGTGTCCAGCACAGGAGGAAGATATAACTGGGAAGCCAGGCCAGCTATCTCCCTTTCATGTTTTTCTGCCTGCTTTATATTTGCTGGCAGCTGATTAGATGGTGCCCACCCAATTAAGGGTGGGTCTGTCTTCCCCAGCTCACTGATTCAAATGTAATCTTTGGCAACACCCTCACAGACACACCCAGGATCAATACTTTGTATCCTTCAATTCAATCAAGTTGACACTCAGTATTAACCATCACAGGGATCATGGATGTTTCTGACTTAGAGGTTGGGGCCAGAGGAGGATCCCAAGACCCCGGGATATCTGTCTTGCTGCAGAGCCTTCAATAGCGAGCCTAAGATTCCCTATGTGCGACTAGAGCGACTCAAGATCTGTGCTGGCTCCTCGGGAGAGATGCCCGTGTTCAAGCTGAAGCCACAGAAGAATGATCAGGATGGGAGCTTCCTGCTGATCATCGAGTGTGGCACTGAGTCCTCCAGCATGTCCATTAAGGTACCACTTTCCTCTGCCTTGGCCTTAAACCCTGGCCCAGCCTAAGAGCTTATTCTTTCTGCTACTGCCAGAATTCTGGCTCTGGGACCTTTCCTGAGTCTCTGATGGGGCTGCCGCTTTGCCAGACATTGTTCCCTGCTTCAAAGTGCCTGCGAGATGCATATTAGGAGCGAGTTGTCCCAGCATTCATGGGGCTTGCTGGTGTGGGGTCCTGGAATAAGTGGCTCTCATAGTAGGTGCACAGGGCCTGCCGGTCCCTCCCTCACCTCCCCCAAGAGCTTGTTGGTGCTGTGCTCTGGCTCCCCAGACTTACTTCTTCCCCAAGGTCAGCCAGGACAGACTGTCTGAGGCCACCCAGGCCCCAGGTCTGGGGGGAAGAAAGGTCACTGTCACTTCTCTGGCTGGGCAGCGGCCACCAGAAGTGGAGGGCACATCTGAAGAACACAGACTCATTCCTCGAACTCCAGGAGCCAAGAAGGGCCCCCCAGCCCCAATAGAGAATGAGGACTTCTGTGCTGTTTGCCTCAATGGGGGAGAGTTACTGTGCTGTGACCGCTGCCCCAAAGTGTTCCATCTGTCCTGCCATGTGCCAGCCTTGCTCAGCTTTCCAGGGTGAGTCATGCCAGTCCAGGACCATCACCTGGCTAGTAGGGTTACCTTCCAGGGATGATTATTCCAGGCCAGGCCCACAGAGCTCCCAGGATGGGCTTACTCCCCTCTTCTGGGCCTGCCTGAATTGCAGGTCTGTGAGTTGATAGGCCTGGGTGTCTTCTGCACACAGACAGGTGGATGCTTGACATTTGATTGACTTCCCTTCTACCTCTTTACTCACCTTCCTCCTGCATGTGGATTTCGTGCCTATACTCCTACCCCAGCCTCCTCAACCCCTATTTTTCTAGATTCACTAAATTCTGAGTTACTGAATTTTTTCTAAGCCTGTGGCTAGGAAGCCATTCCTTACATGGCAAGGCCAGGGACTCAGTTTCCCATGTCATTGTCCTAGTGCCTGCCCTAGGGCAGAGGGAGAGGGAAGGATGCTCTGGGCAATGTGTGGAGGCCTAAGATGGCCTCACCTGCCCCTGCAGGGGAGAGTGGGTGTGTACCTTGTGCCGCAGCCTGACCCAGCCCGAGATGGAGTACGACTGTGAGAACGCCCGCTATAACCAGCCTGGAATGCGGGCATCTCCTGGCCTAAGCACATATGACCAGAAGGTAGGGAGGGGTCTTTGGAAACAAGGTTCCCTGCCCTTGGCAGCCCCCTTCTGCCTACAGGGTCTGAGGCCTTCAGAGGGGATGAGGGGCTTTTCTGGATACCTTTCTTTGTGCTGTGCCTGACAACTTGGCCCGGGGTGTTTGGATGATTTTCCTTCTCCTGGCAGTTTTCCTCTGGCTTGGGAGACTGAGCTCTGCCTTAGTATGGCAGCTGGTAGCCTGTGAGACAGAGCCAGGGAGTTATCAGGGTCAGCATCTTTAGTTCATACTGAGGTGAGGCCAGAACAAAGTGACTCTGTTGCCAATTCTGATTTTGCAGAAGTGTGAGAAGCTGGTATTGTCCTTGTGCTGCAATAACCTCAGCCTGCCCTTCCATGAACCTGTCAGCCCCCTGGTAAGGAAGGCCGCGCTGTTTCTGCCTGCTACTGTTTCTTCTGCTCAGAGGGTCTAGACCACGGGGCAGGAGCATGGTGGTTCCCAGGCTGGGCTCAGAGCATGGCCACTGGAAGTAATGACAGTAGTAGCTTGTGGATAGTCCAGGGGACTGTGGGGCCATGGCCATTCCAGCCTCCCCAACCACAACTGCTGCTGTATCAGATCTGACTTGACAAGTGACACATTCCTCCTTTTCCCTTTCTCTTTGTCTTCTTTCTCCATCCTTTTTTTCCTGATGCTTCTCATCATTCCTCCTCCTATTCTTTTTACTTATATTTCAACTCATTGTCCATTTCTTCTTCCTTCTTATCCATACCTCCATTTCTTCTCTCACCCGCATTTGCCTCCTTTTGCTCGTGTCTCCTCCCGCAAGGCCCGGCATTATTACCAGATTATCAAGAGGCCCATGGACCTGTCAATCATCCGGAGGAAGCTGCAAAAGAAGGACCCGGCTCACTATACCACCCCAGAGGAGGTGGTATCGGATGTGCACCTCATGTTCTGGAACTGTGCTAAGTTCAATTATGTATGTCTTATCTGTTTTCCCTCTCTCCTATTTCCTCCAACCACAGGACTGTCATGGGTGGGTAGGGGTAAGAGGTTAGGTTTGGTCTGGGCTGCCATGAAGATGGGGGAGCAGATTCCAGGGACCTGCTGTGGTGGGTGTTTAAAAGCTTTCTCCCACACTCAGGCCTCAGCATGGACTCAGGAAAAAGGGGAGGTACTAGTGACCGGCCATCTGTGGCTGCCTGTTGGGGTCACTTCTGCCTTAAGAGCTACTATCAAACTAGTTATCCTGAGTTCTAGGGGAAAAAATGCCCAGTTCCAGATGCCTCAGGAGACCCTGCCAGGTTTTGTGCTCTGTGTAGCTCTTGAGGGATCTGGAAGAGATGGACTAGTAGAAACGGGCTAGGATATCATTGCTCTCCTTCTCCATCAGCCTGACTCAGAGGTTGCAGAGGCTGGCCGCTGCCTGGAAGTGTTCTTTGAGGGCTGGTTGAAGGAGATCTACCCAGAGAAACGGTTTGCCCAGCCAAGGCAGGAGGACTCAGACTCCGAAGAGGTGTCTAGTGAGAGTGGACGCTCCACTCCCCAGGGCTTCCCATGGCCTCCCTACGTGCAGGAAGGCATCCAACCCAAGAGGCGGCGACGACATATGGTAAAGAGTTACTGCCATAGTGGCAGCAGGTGGGTGGGTGATCAGGCAAGCAGAAGGGCACCCAAGCAGCAACCTAAGGTGAAGCTGTTCAGGTGGCACAAAAGACAGTGGTGATAGTGAACCCCTTCTTCCAGCCCCTTAGCCTGTAAGGAAGGCAGGGCAGTACAGGGCTCATCAATGCCAGTTACTCATGAGACTTGAAATTCAGAAAGGTACCTGCCTGCCCAGGGTAACCCAGCATTTAGCAGCAGACCAGGGCTGAGAAACCAGTTGTCCTAATAGCCAATTTGGTGCTGGTTACACTACACTGTGATTGTGATGCCCCTAAGAAGGGAATTACCTGGTCTCAGTGCCTGGTTTCTACTTGGATTTGAGAGAGAAAGGAAGAGATCTTTCTTAGCCCCTTGGTGTAGGTAAGGAAGGAGAGGTATTGCTTGCAGCAGAGAGAGCTCCTCTGATCTTTGGGCTGGTCCCACCTGTGCAGACCAGAAATGTCCATTCAGGGCTGTTTAATTCCACGGAAATGTTTTGCCTGCCTCCTGTGTGCCAGGGATTGACCAGCCATCCTCAGTTGCTTACCATACTCAGCATACAATGTTTAGTGGCTTCAGTAAGTTTTATTGCTGCATTCCTGTGGTAAAATAAAATACTTTGCAGCACTGCAATCTTGACATAACCAACATTTGGCTATTTTAATATGTATTTTTCTTTCAGGAGAATGAAAGAGCAAAGAAAATGTCATTTCGTCTGGCCAACAGCATCCCCCAGGTGTGAGAGCCAGAAGGAGGCTGCGTACTCTGGCAGCTGTTGTCCCAGCCTGTCGACCATTCCTTCCCATCTTGCAGCTTATCCTCTTCAGAATGTGGGTGGTAGATGAGTCTCATTGAACTGTGTAGTGCTCTTCTTTGCCATTTGCATCTACAGCATTTATTTGGAAGCCGTAGTGCATCCACTACAGAGAAGATTTCAGTAATAAACAGGAAAGAGGAAGGCATTCGTTATTATCAGAGTAATCGGATGTATAGGGTCCACTTGACAAGACCACACCTGGTCAGGCTTGGGAGGACCTACCTTCCTTGGTGAATTTTTTTCTGCCTGGGAAAGCAGACCTGTCTCACCTTTTAGTGTCCAGGGTTCAGGAGCCATGTGTATATCTGAACTCCTCCTGGGCTCAGAAGTGAGTAAAAGAGGGGAGAGAGGTTTAGACATATGGCAGGACTGTGGTCCCTGGCCCAGCACAGCCAAAGACTGTCACTGTTTGCCTTTGCTTGTCCTGTCTGGACAGAGGCACCTGCCGTGTGCAGACTAGTGGAGGCTTCTACAGGCCTTAGGTTTCAACTGGTGCCTATTTGGGTTCTAACGGTTTTCAGGGTATTTGTTTTACATATTCACTTTCCTGATGCTGACTTCAGTGGCTGCTATGAAAATGCTGTGGCTGGTGTGACATTCTTGATTGAGCTGGGTGGCTGTGCAGAGACCACTTACATCTTCTGGTTCAGATTTCACTTGCACACTTAGAAAGATGTCCACTTCCGAGCCCGCCCTCTGTGCTCCTTACTCTGGGCTAATCGCACTTCTTTAGTGTGAGAACCTGCCTTCCTAGAAGTGACTGTTGGTGCTTGTCAGTGGCACACCCTTCATCATCCTCATTCAGAGGTCTGGATCTTGAGTTCTGCTTGTGAATACTGTGAAGCAGCTGCTGTCTGCTTCAGGTACAGAGTTCCATGGGTGGAAAGCGTAACCCACAACCAGCTCACTCCTCTGGGCCTCTCTTCCTGCTTAGAGATTCTAGTTCTCAACCTCTCCAAGTTCATGAGCCAAAGATCAGAAGTGAATCTTCTGACTAGCATGCCCCCAGGCTGTCTACCATCCTGAAAAAGCTTTACTAGCAGCCCTTTTTGTTGGAGGTTAGAGAAGGCCTCAGGGACCAACAGGGGTCAGATCTAGACATTCCTGACGGAAATTTGTCTAAAGTGGACAGGGGAAAAATCAAGAGGCAAAAAGCCAGTGTCCTTTGGTGACCCTGAAGCAAATTCAGAGCCTTAGTTCTCCCAGAATGCAGAGGGAAGCATTCTGGAAGCCATGGGAACGGGAGCTCAAGGTTGCATCCTGAATGGATCTGCATGGTCCTCGCCAGGTGTTTGTGAGGATACTGGAGTTCAGGCTACCTCCCAAGCAAGGGCTTGGTTGAGAAAGAACTCATTACTGATACTGTTGGGACAGCTCTGAACTTGACATTTCAGTGGCCAGGGCCAGCTCTGAACCTGACATTTCAGTGGCCAGGACTGAGACAGCTCTCCTTGGTCCTGCCATCAAATGGCTAATTTCAGGGGAGCCTTAGGTCATGGCTTTGGTTTTGTTAAGAGACACAGTTCAAGGATGTTTTGATTTGTAGGGCTTTGCTAATGAGCATTTTTTTTTTTAAGTCAGAAAACATTTCTTCTCTCTTTGCGAGTTGATGGTATTGCCCATTTCCTTCTCTACCCAAGCTGAGAGATCATCTTCACTTCAAAGCAAACCATGCCCATTGGCTTGCCATTCTTTCAGCAGCACGTGCCATGTTCTCCTAAGCAGATAGGCTCCCATGATCCTGTTTTCTGGTTCAGAAACTAAGTCTTCAATGCTTTACCAGTCCAGCAATCTTTGGACTTAGGTTTCTGCCCTTTGAGACTCACATGACTTTTTGGTTTGGAGTCTGGCCATTTCCCTTTCAATGTTTGAATCTTGTTCTCTGGTTGGCTTGACAACATTCCCTCTGTTCTCATGTCACTAATTCCTGCTCTAGGTCATCTTTCCTTTGCTCGGCCCACATTCCCACCATCCCTGTGAGCTTTATCGTACTTGGCGTTGGGCAGCTGGTGAGTGCTGTGATAGGCTCAGATCTGATCCTTCCTTAGGACCAACTGAAGACCACAAATTTAAAGTGGAAATGCCTGTTAAAAGCCTGGCTTTCCTTATATCAGTGAGGCTCCCAGCTTGGGTGTGGCCTGCTGGGCTCAAGGATCAGCTTGCTGAGCTAGGGGGTCTTAGTAATGAGCTGGAGAGATACATGCTCCCTTCTCATCATGGAGAGCCTGCATGCAGAGAGGTTCCCTTTAGACACCTGATCAGGGTTGGGTGGGTGGGGCTGAGGCCAAAGCCTATCACACCATCCCCACACTAGCTATCCCTTGGCACTGCCCTCACCCTGGGTTTTCCTTTGGACCTAGCCACCAGCGTTTTGAGGCATGGTTTTGTTTTGTTTTTGCATGAAAAAACCAGAACGTGACTTAGAAATTAAAAAAAAAAAAATCCTTCTAGCCAAGTGATTACCTGCAGCCAAGTGATTACCTGCAGCCAAGTGACTACCTTGGCTCTTTGCTAACATTTGGGCTGATCTTGCTTTTGACTTATTCCCATAATAGCCCGGTTTTGAAGTCAGCCAAGTCCTTTGGTTATTGACAGTATCATGCAATGGAAATACGGTGAGTTCTAGATTCTTATGGGACAGCATGCAGTCCTAGAGGAGAAATTGGCTTCTTGGGTGTGCTGAGAAATAAGACAGTAAAGTAGCTTCAGTTGATGGAAAGGAGATTTTAGTTAAAAATTGGTTCAGGATTTTTAAATTTTATTTTTTGGCTGGGCATGGTGGCTCACGCCTATAACCCCAGCACTTTGGGAGGCCTAGGTGGGTGGATCACCTGAAGACAGGAGTTTCACATCAGCCTGGCCAATATAGAGAAACCCTGACTCTACTAAAAATACAAATATCAGTCAGGTGTAATGGTATGCACCTGTAATCCCAGCTACTCACGAGGCTGAGGCAGGAGAATTGCTTGAACCTGGAAGGCGGAGGTTATAGTGAGCCGAGATTGCAACACTGCACTCCAGCCTGGGCGAGAGAATGAGACTCCGTCTCGGAAAAAAAAAGTTGGTTCAGGATGAACTGCAGAGCACTCTTCCACAGAACATGGGTAGGTTAGCCCTGCCTGACATCCAGCAATTGCTAACTATACACCTTGCCTGCCTCTAGTACCCCTACCTGAGTGGCAGCCACCAGACACTCCATAGGCTCTGTTCCATGGCAGGTCCTGCCATCCACCCCGGCAGACTCTGGCTCTCTGCCTCTACCCATTTCTAGCAACAGCTCCTTGCCTGGCTCCTGAGACCGTGGCGCCTCCTTGTTTGTTCCTGGGTTCTGTTCTGCTCCCTCTCTCACTCCATGGGGTCACTTAGGGTCTTCCTTTCTGACCTCCTGAACTGAAAGCCTTTGCTCCTGGATTGCCATCTCCTGGGCTTCCTCTTCTCACTCCATCAGTACTGCCAAAATTGCCCTGCTCCTTTAGTCCCTTTGCATGACCTCGGCCCTCTCTCTCCTCTCCTTGCCTTTCAGCTTTCTCCTGGACTCCTTCCTCTCCCCAGCCTGAACCCAGAGCCTATCACACATTGATGTTTTTATCAACATCCTTTCTCATCCCCTTCAACTGTTTTTTTTTTTTTTTTAGATGGAGTCTTGCTCTGTCTCCAGGCTGGAGTGCAGTGTGCAAGCTCGGCTCACTGCAACCTCCGCCTCAGCCTCCTAAGTAGCTGGAACCACAGGCGTGTGCCACCACACCCGGCTAACTTTTTTTTGTATTTTTAGTAGAGATGGGGTTTCACCAAGTTGGCCAGGATGGTCTCGATCTCTTGACCTCGTGATCCGCCCACCTCAGCCTCCCAAAGTGCTGGGATTACAGGTATGAGCCACCGTGCCAGGCAATTTTTGTTGAAACTATCAGCCATTCTCCATTTTTGGCATCATCATATTTTCTGCTCCCACCTCCTGGGCTGCTGAGCATGACAGATTCACAGTTGGCAGCCTCAGTTGGGCTCTCAGTATTGACTGGAAATTCTTTAACTTGTTGTGATCCTTTTTTTTCCCATCCATGCCTCCATCTTTGCCCTCCACAAATAACTGAGCTCACTGTCTACTTCGCAGAAGAGAGCCCCTAAAGCAAGAGCGTCCTTGCCCACTGTTCCTCTCTTCCCTCTCATTCATCTGTGTTTGTAACTCTCCCTTCCCTTCCCCTCCTGCTCCTATTTAGTTCTTATGCCTTGAATCCTCTTGTATGTCCTCCAAGAGCGCTCCCTTGCTTAGCCCACTGCTCCCGCTTCCTGGAGTCTGCAGCCTCTGTCTCCATTGGTTATTTCCACACAGTCTGCAAACTGGTTCTCGCCAAGATTAAAACAGCGTTTCTTAGCGTCTGCTACCCCTTACACCTTTTCCTTGTTAGTCAAGTTATTTTAAACAAGAATCTTTTTAAATTGATTCTTCCGCAACTGTTCTTCAGCCCTCTGTTCTTTTTCATAAACGTCACCAGTGACTGCCCAATTGCGAAACAGAATAAATACCTTTCAGTGCTCAGCTGTCTTGACCTCTCCACAGCATTTCACACCATCCACCAACCCTCAGTGAAACAGCCTCCTCCCTTAGCTTTACGACACCGCAAGTCTCTGGATTCTCCTCTTACCTCTCAGCCGCACAGGCTGAGCCATCCTTGAAACCTAGACAGGGGTACATGTCTGTGGCTGTCTGGGGTCTCTCCTTTTAAGAAGTTGGGTAGGTAGGAAGAATCACAGCTGCTCTGCTTCCCTGTCTATTTCCTGAGTCCCTTCCTTTTCCTGAACTCAGTTCTCCTCATGCCAAGCATGTTTATGAGCTCCTGCTGGGAGGACAGCATCTGTGAGTCCTTCCCTCTGTCTCTCCTAGACAACACAGAGACAGATTTTAGCCTTGTTTGCTAAGAGACCCTATAAGTCAGCCCAAGGCTGTGGATTAGGTCTTATAGCATCCAGGTCTCAGTCTGGCTAAACTGGATTACTAGGCTGGTAGGCAGCTCCTCACCATGATCCTGTACCAGTTAAAGCCTGCTGCAGTTGGGAAGGAACCTGGGATTGTGGTAAGACATATTTCCTTGCATGTCAGTGCTGCTAACCAGGAGGAGAAGCTGGCAGTGTGGGTGCCTGCTGCTGA